AATTATCAAAATGTTCGTTTGAAACAGACGAAGATGTTGTTTTTGACTCTGTTTACATGCCACCAGAAAATACTAAATATTTCAACAAAAATATATATAACTTGTTTTACACAGAGTATGAAAATTTCTGTACCAATTATAAACATATAAAATACATACATACATATATACATATATACATACATACATACATACATACATACATACATACATACATACATACATACATACATACATACATACATACATACATACATACATACATACATACATACATACATACATACATACATACATACATACATACATACATACATACATACATACATACATACATACATACATACATACATACATACATACATACATACATACATACATACATACATACATACATACATACATACATACATACATACATACATACATACATACATACATACATACATACATACATACATAACAAAACATAACATAACATAATACATACATACACACATACATACATACATACATAAATTCGGAAAAACATGTTGTTTTTTACATACATACATACATACATACATACATACATACATACATACATACATACATACATACATACATACATACATACATACATAACATAACATAACATAACATAACATAACATAACATAACATAACATAACATAACATAACATAACATAACATAACATACATACATACATACATACATACATACATACATACATACATACATACATACATACATACATACATACAAAACATAACATAACATAACATATACATACATACATACATACATACATACATACATATACATACATACATACATACATACATACATAACATAACATAACATAACATAACATACATACATACATACATACATACATACATACATACATACATACATACATACATACATACATACATACATACATACATACATACATACATACATACATACATACATACATACATACATACATACATACATACATACATACATACATACATACATACATACATACATACATACATACATACATACATACATACATACAAAACAACATAACATAACAAAACATAACATAACATAACATACATAACATACATACATATATACATATATACATACATACATACATACATACATACATACATACATAACATAACATAACATAACATACATAACATACATACATACATACATACATACATACATACATACATACATACATACATACATACATACATACATACATACATACATACATACATACATACATACATACATACATACATAACATCACATACATAACATAACTTGTAAAGATACCACCATTAATTCACATAATAAGACGTTGTTTAGGCCGGTTAACATAAAGTTTGGATAAAATAGCATGGCGATTTGAGAGAATAAGGCAGTGTTTAGACATGTCAATACCATATTTCGACAAGTCAACAATACTGTTTGACATGATAAAATAACGTTTACACAAACAAACAAAATTTATTGACAAGTCAACATAAGTATTTCACATAATAAGTATATTTTTAGACAGGATAACAACAGTTTTAGACAAGACAGCATGATGTTTTGGCACAATAAGGCAGAATAACACCACCTAATACAAAGCAACAAAACAGTTTGACAAAACAGGACAGCTCTCAGTCAGGTCAATAAAACGGTTGAACAAGATATCACTACTGACATGAGTTTATATTAACTCATTACCACATTTCGACATGATAACGCAATTTTTTGACTTTATAAGACTGAGATTTAACCAGTCAAAACTGCTTTTTGACAAAATAGCATACAGTTTATCATAATAAGGCATGATTTAGCCCAGTCAACACCCCATTTCGGCAAGATAGTTCGAATAAGACATGAGTTTGACAAGTTGACACCAAGTTCCGACAAGATAACACTACTGTTTCACATATTAATAAGACAATTTCTAGACAAATTACCACCACAGTTGGACAAGACAGCATGTTATTTTGACATAAAAGACATTCTTTCAGCAAGATAACACCGAATTTGAACACAATGACATGGCAGTCTGACAAAATGTGACAGTGTTTAAGCAAGTCAATATCACATTAGCTAGACAAAATGACAGTATAACATAATACAACAGTGTCATAACATACCAGGATCATATTTGGACAACATGACACCACTTTCCGACAAGATAACATTACTGTTTCACATGATAAGACAATTTCAAGACACTTCAACACCACATTTAAACAAGTCTTTGTTCAGACATAATGAAATCCTAGTTCGAAAAGATGGCATGCATGTTAGACATATTAAGACTTCCATTCGGCATGTTAACACCGGATTTGCACATGATAACATGACGTTTTGAAATAATAAGACAGTGTTTAGACAAGTCAGCACTACGTTTTGACAAGATAAAATTAATATTTGACCTAATAAGACTTCGTTAAGATAGGTTCCCATAAAATGTTGGCAAGCCAACACTTCTATTATACATAATAAGACGCTTTTAGGGAAAAATAAAACGAAATTTAACAACATGAGGCAGCTATGGCGTTCCATACGTGACATATACGGTCCGACAGAGCTGTATGTAATGGGAATTGTTCATGTTGGCGTGAGAAGTTTTGAATAGGTGATGTTCCTGGTGATGTGTGTAGTATGGAATGGTTAATGCTTCTTGTGGTGTATGTAGTATGGAATGGTTAATGCTTCTTGTGGTGTATGTAGTATGGAATGGGTAATGCTTCTTGTGGTGTATGTAGTATGGAATGGGTAATGTTTCTTGTGGTGTATGTAGAACGGAATGGTTAATGTTTCTTGTGGTGTATGTAGTATGGAATGGGTAATGTTTCTTGTGGTATATGTAGTATGGAATGGGTAATGCTTCTTGTGGTGTATGTAGTATGGAATGGGTAATGTTTCTTGTGGTGTATGTAGTATGGAATGGTTAATGCTTCTTGTGGTGTATGTAGTATGGAATGGTTAATGTTTCTTGTGGTGTATGTAGTATGGAATGGTTAATGTTTCTTGTGGTGTATGTAGTATGGAATGGTTAATGCTTCTTGTGGTGTATGTAGTATGGAATGGTTAATGCTTCTTGTGGTGTATGTAGTATGGAATGGTTAATGCTTCTTATGGTGTATGTAGTATGGAATGGTTAATGCTTCTTGTGGTGTATGTAGTATGGAATGGGTAATGCTTCTTGTGGTGTATGTAGTATGGAATGGGTAATGTTTCTTGTGGTGTATGGAGTATGGAATGGTTAATGCTTCTTGTGGTGTATGTAGTATGGAATGGTTAATGTTTCTTGTGGTGTATGGAGTATGGAATGGTTAATGCTTCTTGTGGTGTATGTAGTATGGAATGGTTAATGCTTCTTGTGGTGTATGTAGTATGGAATGGTTAATGCTTCTTGTGGTGTATGTAGTATGGAATGGTTAATGTTTCTTGTGGTGTATGTAGTATGAAATGATTAATGCTTCTTGTGGTGTATGTAGTATGGAATGGGTAATGCTTCTTGTGGTGTATGTAGTATATAATGGGTAATGTTTCTTGTGGTGTATGTAGTATGGAATGGTTAATGTTTCTTGTGGTGTATTTAGTATGGAATGGTTAATGTTCCTGGTGGTGTATGTAGTATGGAATGGGTAATGTTTCTTGTGGTGTATGTAGTATGGAATGGTTAATGCTTCTTGTGGTGTATGTAGTATGGAATGGTTAATGTTTCTTGTGGTGTATGGAGTATGGAATGGTTAATGTTTCTTGTGGTGTATGTAATATGGAATGGTTAATGTTCCTGGTGATGTGTGTAGTATGGAATGGTTAATGTTTCTTGTGGTGTATGTAGTATGGAATGGTTAATGTTTCTTGTGGTGTATTTAGTATGGAATGGTTAATGTTCCTGGTGATGTGTGTAGTATGGGATGGTTAATGTTTCTTGTGGTGTATGTAGTATGGAATGGTTAATGTTTCTTGTGGTGTATGTAGTATGGAATGGTTAATGCTTCTTGTGGTGTATGTAGTATGGAATGGTTAATGCTTCTTGTGGTGTATGTAGTATGGAATGGTTAATGCTTCTTGTGGTGTATGTAGTATGGAATGGTTAATGCTTCTTGTGGTGTATGTAGTATGGAATGGTTAATGCTTCTTGTGGTATATGTAGTATGGAATGGTTAATGTTTCTTGTGGTGTATGAAGTATGGAATGAGTAAATTAAATGCTTCTTGTGGTGTGTGTAGTATGGAATGGTTAATGTTTCTTGTGGTGTATGTAGTATGGAATGGTTAATGCTTCTTGTGGTGTATGTAGTATGGAATGAGTAATGCTTCTTGTGGTGTATGTAGTATGGAATGAGTCATGTTTCTTGTGGTGTATTTAGTATGGAATGAGTAATGCTTCTTGTGGTGTATGTAGTATGGAATGGTTAATGTTTCTTGTGGTGTATGTAGTATGGAATGGTTAATGCTTCTTGTGGTGTATGTAGTATGTTATTTCGTAATGCTTCTTGTGGTGTATGTAATATGGAATGAGTAATGTTTCTTGTGGTGTATGTAGTATGGAATGAGTCATGTTTCTTGTGGTGTATGTAGTATGGAATGAGTAATGCTTCTTGTGGTGTATGTAGTATTGAATGGTTAATGCTTCTTGTGGTGTATGTAGTATTGAATGGTTAATGCTTCTTGTGGTGTATGTAGTATGGAATGGTCAATGTTTCTTGTGGTTTGAGTAGTGTGGACTTAGTTTGGAATTCTTGTTAAAAAACAGGACACTTACGAAAATAATCAAGAATTTCATAAAAGCCCCAATTTGTTGGACAATGCTTACTCGAAATCCCTAAACCTTCTAGGAATTATGTGAACTTTCCCTGTAACATAAACATATATACAATAATGTTATAAATGTTGTAACTTATGATGTATGATTCTTCAAAATATCAAAATATTTATATCAAAAATTACAACTACATTTTTGTATTTCAGACAACTGCGATGTGAACGAATCACTATACACAAAAACTTGTTTATTTCTTATGTTCTTACTGGCGTAGCATGGATACTGTATTACACCCTGGCAGCATTAGACGGGGAAGTTCTTCTACATAATCCAGTATGTACACCTATTATATACACTAAGTGCGTGCCATTGTGTTTTACCCAAAACATCAAAGATCCGACACTAAATAATGCAATATCAATCAGTTGATCTGTACAAATTGTTTTTTTTTAGTTTTAATCTATTAGCATGTTTCTTTCAGCGATATAAAGTGCAGTTAATTAATGACAAACATAAAATCTCTTTTCAAAATTGGGTGACAAATTTATTAACCCTGGTTATTGTAATGCCGAAATCGGCGGGCGGGTGGGCGATCGTCAACTTTGGTTTCCACTCAATTTCTTGAGTTTGCTTTGGCCTATTGACACCAAACTTGGTTTGTGGGTAGCTTATATCAAGACACAGCTTTGGATTTGTACCACGGTGTCAGTGATCAAGGTCACTGCTACTAAAAATAGAAATTCAGTTTCCGCTAAAAACCTTATGTTTGCTTTAGCCTGTTGGCACCAAACTTGGTGTATGGGTAGCTTATATCTAAACGCTGCTTGGGATTGGTACCTAGGTGTCTGTGATCAAGGTCAAGGTCACTTTCACTAAAAATAGAAATTCAGTTTCCGCTCAATAGCATTAGTTTAATTAGGCCTATTGACACAAAACTTTGTGTATTGGTAGCTTATATCAAAAGGCAGCTTGGGATTGCTACCAAGGTGTCTGTGATCAAGGTCAAGGTCACTGTTGCTAAAAAAAGAAATTTAGTTTTTGCTCAATAACTTAAGTTTGCTTTGGCCTATTTAAACAAAACTTACAGTATGGGTAGTCTATATTAAGACGCAGCATGGTATTGCTACGCAGGTCTCCATGATCAAGGTCAATGTCACTGTTGCTAAAAATTAGAAATTTAGTATCCGCTCAGTAACTTGAGTTTGCTTAGGCCTATTGACACCAAACATGGTGTATGGGTAGCTTTTATCAAGACGCAGCTTGGGATTGCTAATTTGCTACCAAGGTGTCTGTGCTCAAGGTCAAGATCACTGTCGCTAAAAATAGAAATACATTTTTCACTCAATAACTTGAGTTTTGCTAAGGCCTATTGACACCAAACATTGTGTATGGGTAGCTTATATCAAGAGGCAGCTTGGGATTGCTACCCAGATGTGTTTGATCAAGGTCAAGGTCACTGTTGCTAAAATTATAAATTAAGTTTCCACTCAATAACTTCAGTTTGCTTTGACCTATTGACACAAAACTTAGTATGTGGGTAGCTTATATCAAGACACTACTTGGGCGGGCGGGCGTCAACTGTTGCTAAAAATAGAAATTAGGTCTCCGCATAATAACTTGAGTTTGCTTAGACCTATTGACACCAAATTTAGTATGTGGGTAGCTTATATTAAGAAGCAACTTGGGATTGCCACCCAGGTGTCTGTGAACAAGGTCAAGGTCACCACTGTTCCTTAAAAAGAAATTCACTTTCCACGTAATAATAAGTTTGCTGTGACCTTTTGACAACAAAGCTGTATGTTCAGCTTATATTAAGATGCAGCTTGAGATTGCTGGGAGCAAGGTAAAGGTTCAGTTTAATTTGACCTTTGGTACTTAACTTGGAATGTGTGAAGCTTACATGAAAATACAGCCTGGTATTGATACTCAGGTATCTGGTATATTTTTATTTTGAACTAGTGAAACCAATTTCCTATGTTGGTACAAAAAAAAACAGAATCATTTTTTCTTCACTGTCATGTTTCATTCTTTATTCCTGTCAGATCAATACTTGGCGGTTGAAAACCAGGTTTCGTCGCATTGCGGTGCTTCTTGTTAATTATTTGATATGATTATAATACCCCCTTTCGAAGAAGAGGGGTTTATTGTTTTGCTTATGTCGGGCTGTCTGTCGGTCTGTCCGCCGGTAGACCACATTGTTTCCGCTGATTATCTTAAAAACTATTTATCACAAAGTATCTATATTTCACATACTGGTTGGTAATAACAAGTTAATCAGGTCATTTGGTCAAAAGTCAAGGTCACAAGGGCCGTAAATGTCAGAATGGTTTCCGCTGATTATCTTGAAAACTATTTATCGCAAAGTCTTCATATTACATGTACTGATTGGTCATAACTAGAAAATGACACCTATTGATTTTTGGGTCACTAGGTCAAAAGTCAAGGTCACAAGGGCCATAAATGTCAGAATGGTTTTGCTGATTATCTTGAAAACTATTTATCACAAAGTCTTTATTTTTCACATACTGATTGGTTATATCTAGTAGATGACCCCTATTAATTTTGGGGTCACTAGATCAAAGGTCAAGGTCACAGGGTCCTGCAATGTCTTTATGGTTTCCACTCATTATCTTAAAAACTATTTATCACAAAGTCTTCATATTTCACATACTGATTGGTAATTACTACACGGGGTGGAACCCCATATGTATCTCAAAAATGAGAATCGGTAAAAAGTAAATGTAAATTCCTTCGTTGGTAGACAAATCTCAATAAACGTTCAAATCAGGATTTGTCTGAATATTAAGAATCGGTCTGTAGTGAGTGACATTTTATTCATACACATTGCATGTTTTTGGCGCACCAAAACCAACGACGGAAAGAATATCTCAATGAAGACTGCATAGAAATCCAAAACAAAAATAGGTAATATAGAGGAGAGTCAGGAGGATAGGATCACATTTCGATTTTCTTAAAAAAGGATTGAATTTTATATAACTGTTTAAAAAGTTGAAAACTTACCCTGCGATTGACCTATTTCACAGTCACATCTGGTGTTATGCTTCACATCTGGAGAAGCGGAAATTCACTTTTTACCGATGCTCATTTTTGAGATACATATGGGGTTCCACTCCCGTGTACTAGTAGTTGACCCCTATTGATCTTGGAGTCACAGGGGCCTTAGGTATCAGAATGGTTTCTGCTCATTTTCTTGAAAACAATCACAAAGACTTCATATTTCATAAATTGATTAGTCATATATAGTAGATGACCCCAATTTATTTTGGGGTCAATTTTCAAAGGTCAAGGTCACATGGGCCTTAAATGTCAGAATGGTTTCCGCTGATTATCTTGAAAACTATTTATCACATAGTTGTCATATTTCACGCTCTGATTGTTTATATCTAGGAGATGACCCCTATAGATTTTGGGGTAACTAGGTCAAAGTTCAAGGTCACAGGGGCCTTCAAGGTCATAATGGTTTTTTGCTCATTATTTTTACAAAGCCCTCATATCTCACATACTGATTGGTCATAACTAGAAGATGATCCCTACTGATTTTAGGCCACTAGGTCAAAGGTCACATGGGCTTTAAATGTCAGAATAGTTTGCTCAATATATTGAAAACTTTTTATCAGAAAGTCTTCATATATCACATACTGATTGGCAATAACTAGTAGATAACCCCTATTGATTTTGGGGTCACTAGGTCAAAGGTCAAGGTAATTGGGGCCTTTAATTGCAGAATGGCTGCCGCTCATTATCTTGAAAACTATTTATCACAAAGTCTTCGTATTTCACAAATTGATTAGTCAGTCATATAAAGAGAATGACCCCTAATTGATTTTGGGTCAATAGTTCAAAGGTCAAGGTAACATGGGGCTTTAAATGTCAGAATGGTTTCCACTTATTAGTTTGAAATTATTCATCATTAAGTCTTCATATCTCACATACTGATTGCTGTTAACTACTAAATGACCACTTGAGGTCACTAGGTCCAAGGTTAAGGTCACGAGGACCTTAAATGTCACTATGTTTTCTGCTCAATATCTTGGAAACTATTTATCACAAAGTCTTCATATTTCACATACATATTGGTAATAACTAGTAGATTATCCCTATCGATGTTGGGGATACTAGGTCAAAGGTCAAGGTAATAGTGGCCATAAATGTCAGAATGGTTTTCGCTCATTATCCTGAAAACTATTTATCACAAAGACTTTTTATTTCACATAGTGAATAGCCATATTTAGTAGATAACCCCTATTGATTTTTGGATCACTAGTTAAAAGTCAAGGTCACAGCGGCCTTAAATGTAAGAATGGTTCCCTTTATTACCTTGACAATTTTTATCACTTCACATATTGATATGTCATAATGGGATCAATAGTTCAAAGGTCAAGGTCTTTTATTTTACATATTGATTGTTTATAAATAGTAGGTCATTTTTTTCCATAACTGAACTCTTCCACGAACCCTGATTTATGACAAATTTCAAAAACGAAATTACCAACAATATAAGCCAAGGCCTTGAAGGAGGCATAATTATGTGTCGTTCGACATTTCTTGTTAAAATTTAGTTCATATAGTATTTGTTGACTTTCATAAAGTTGGTAGTTATAAATAGAGCGCAACATATCTTCTTGAGTGTATAAAACATAGCGTACCAATTGTTTAAAGCTATTAAATAAAGGATAAATGCACATCAGTCTCTCGTTCTACGAGCTCGGCGTTTAAATGCGTCCTCGTTCATCCGCACGAAAAAAAAAGGTGAATTAACCTTCTATTGTTAATTAATTAATTAATTAATTAATTAATTTATTTATTTATTTATTTATTTATTTATTTATTTATTTATTTATTTATTTATGTATGTATTCATTTATTTATTTATTTATTTATTTATTTATATTCTTTTTTTTATCATGAAAAATAGTCCGTTGCCATACGTCAACATTTCTTCGAATTCTCTGAAACTGCTAGGTAGATTTACATTAAATTCTTTAGCATTCTTTTGACAGTCACACTTAAATTTGCTCATATCATCTCAATTGGCCCCTTGTAGGGATCAACAGAGTTAGAAATAAAAAAAATAAACATCTTTCTCAACTGAACTAATTGAAAGATTATCACTAAACTTTGTCTGTCTGTAGCAGTCTAAGGTAGTCTTTAATAAAATTTGTTCATATTAATTTGATTGGTCCCTTTTAGGGGCCGCTAAAGCTAAAAATAATAAAACCTTTAAACAACTTCTTCTACTGAACTAATTGATAGATGATCATCAAACTTTTTCTATCTGTAGCATTCTAGGATAGTCTTTAATTAAATTTGCTCATATTAATTTGATTGACCTCTTTCAGGGCCACTTAAGCTAAATATAGAAACACTTTTAAACATCCCCTTCTGCTGAACTAATTGATGGATGATCACCAATATTTATGGAACGCCATGGCTGCCTCATGTCGTTACATTTCTTTTATCTTGCCTAGAAAGCAACTTATAATGTCAAATATTAGTGTTGTGTTGCCATATTATTTTGTCGACTAAACATTGCCGTATTGAACGTAACAGTAGTCTTGTCTCTTCAAAATGTGATGTTGACTTGTCTTAACATTGTTTTATTATTTTGAACAGTAGTGCTATGTCTGAAATGTGTCATAATTTGTCAGCTAGAAGCGCTATTCGGTCCAGTCTGATCATTTGAAACTGTAGTGTTCTCTTGTCGAAATTTGTAATTTGTATTTCTATGTCAAAATATGGCGTTTAAATTCCTTAACATTGTCTTATTGTGTTAAACAGAAGTGTTAATAAGCCAAGCACACTACTTACTTGTCTAATTATATCAAATAGTCGCATTATCTTGCCGAAACAGAGTTTTAACTGGACTAAATCATACCTAATTATGACTAATTGTACGCTATTTTGTTAAAAAGCGGTTTTTGACTTGTTAAAACTCAGTCTTATAAAGTCAAAAAATAGCGGTATTTTGACGAACTGTGATAATGACTTATCTAAACTCTGTCTTATAATATAAAAAAGAAGTGCTATATTGTCAAAACTTGATGTTTTCTTGTAAAAAATAAACTGTCTTATTATTTCTAATAATTATGTTATTTTGTTCAAATTAATTTCTGTCTTGAGAAAGCGCTGTCTGATTTTGTTTAACTGTCCCGTTTTTTTTCACGCTCCACCATCTCTATTTGCGCGGGCTCTGGTCACGTGATACAAAATTTTGACAGCATCGCATAACACGATTATCTGACATAATGAGACGGTTTTTAGACAAGTTAACGGAATAAATCAAGTCAGCGTCACTGTTTTACATAATGATACTTTGTTTTAACAAGTAAACACCACATTTGACAAGAAGAAAAAAAAGATACTTCGCCATAATTGGACGATGTTTAGTCTAATTAAAATCGAACCTTGACATTTTGACAAATAATTTTAGACAAGTCATCACCACGTTTCGACAAGATGATATTACTATTTGACATAATTAGACGAATCTAGACAAGTTAAATCTGCATTTGGACACACTAACGTGGCAGTTTGACATACTAAAATAGCGTTTTAACAGTTCATATCCATAAAGTAAAGATACAATCACTATTTCACATAATAAGACAGTGTTTCGGCAGGTTAACCTAACATTTGGACAAAATAGCATGGCAATCCGAGAGAATAAGGCAGTGTTTAGACATGTCAATACAATCTTTCGATAAGTCAACAATACTGTTTGACATAATAAAATAATGTTTACACAAACAAACATAATTTATTGGCAAGTCAACACCAGTATTTCACATACATGTAATAAATATATTTTTAGACAGGATAAAAACAGTTTTAGACAAGACAGCATGATTTTTGGCACAATAAGACAGAATAACACCAACTCATACAAAGCAACATTACAGTTTGACAAAACAGGACAATACTCAGACAAGTCAATTTTAAGGTTGAACAAGATATCACTACTAGCCAACATGATAAGACATGAGTTTGACAGGTTGACACCAAGTTTCGACAAGTTAACAGTACTTTTTCACATAATAAGACAATATCTAGATAATTTACCACCACAATTGGTCAAGACAGCATGTTATTTTGACATAAAAGGCATTCTTTAGGCAAGATAACACCGAACGCCAGCATAACATATTACAACAGTGTCATAACAAACCAGGATGACATTTGGACAAGGTGACACCGAGTTCAGACAAGATAACGCTACTGTTTCACATTATAAGACAATTTCAAGACAGTTCAACACTACATTTTACAAGGCTGTATTTAGAAATGTTGAAATCTTAATTCGAAAAGATGGCGTGCATGTGAGACATATTAAGACTTCCATTAGGCATTTTAACATGACAGATTTTGACATGATAACATGACGTTTTGAAATAATTCGACAGTGTTTAGACAAGTCAGCACTACGTTTTGAAAAGAAAATATAATTTTTTGACCCACTAAGACTTAGTGAAGACAGGTTATCATAAGCGTTGGCAAGCCGACACTACTATTATACATGATAAGATGCTTTCAGGGAAAAATAAAACAAAATGTAACAACATGAGGCAGCTAGGGCGTTCCATATATGTTTGTCTGTAGCATTCTATGGAAGTCGTTTATCAAATTTGCTCATATTAATTTGATTGGCTATTTTAAGGGCCACTAAAGCTAAAAATAGTAAAACCTTTAAACATCTTCTACTGAAATAATTGATGGATGATCACCAAACTTTGTCTGTATCATTATTAGGTAGTCTGTTATCATTTGTTTATATCAATGGCCCTTTATAGGGGCCTTTAGAGGTAAAAAAGAAAAACTTAAAAGATCATCTTCTACTAAACTAATTGACGGATGATCACCAAACTTGGTCTGTATCATTCTTAGGTAGTCTTTTATAAAAAGGCTCCAGTATAAAAATAAAATTAGAAAGCATGAGTTGACATGCTTTACTTGCCAGATGTACAGTACCAATAAACTTGGGCCATTCGTGAAATGTTCGTTATTTATTATGAGGAAAAAAAACAGTGTCGTAAAACTATATAACTAGAGGGACAAGTTGAAGTTGAGCTGCATTTGCATTTCAGCAAGTTCATTTAAAAAACAACAAAAAAGACCGAAAAATAGTTGTTTTGGTGAGCGGTTTAGGGCCGTCATGGCCCCCTTGTTTAAAAAATAATAATGCTAGCTTCTCCCTAATCGATTATACAGCCCATAGTAAGACACCCGGATCAGCTCGGGTCAGTCTTTGTTCTTAAAATTATAAAACTATGATGTTGTTGTACTCATCTTTACAACAACATCAAGATAAACTTGATTATTTTAAAGAACGAATAAATGGTTTGCTTATCATGAACAGAACAGTTTATGTAATTATCAGCTAATCAATTACAACGGGTGTTGAAATATATTAAAATTTCATTTCATTTGTTTATAGGTATGGTGCAGGTGCCTGCATGTTTTATGCCAGTATTTTACTGTCTGTAATTTTCTTTGGATGTTCTGCGAGGGTCTCTATATAAACACAATAATGGTTTATGCCTTTAGCTCAGGCAAGAAATTAATTGTGTGCTGTTATATCATAGGCTGGGGTAAGCAAAGTTAATAATAATATATCCTGTTTAATATAAACATTTTTTTATCTGTGAGGTCTGGAGTTGTTTAACAATAAACCAATCACATGTGATAATTGAAAAGTTTTGTGATATTTTCAAGAAAATCAAATTATATTGCAATGTTTTTTCTGTCTTAAAAATTGATCAAAATAAATTCAGTTTTACATACTATACATGTCATATCTTTTATCAAGAAATCTTTATTTCTGAAGTTACAATTTTATGTATTAACCTGTACAGCAAATGTAATTATGGTTAGAATTCCCTGCCGTACAAAAGCGAGATATAATTAGCTACTATATGCAATATTATTCATGATCCTGAAACTAAATCTTTCGACGACGCTTGTCGATTAGATTATTAAAATCAGCCACCTCAGAAAGTATTTCCTGAAATGCATTTAAATGCCTGTCACATTAGTTCAAATAAAACCTCTCATCAATTTTAAGATGAACATTAATGCGTTGCTTCTTCTTCACTTAGTCACTTAAATATCTATTTAAATTTTCTTGCCTATTTTTAGCGACCGAGTCCAAAATGTAGTCTGCACATCAAATATAGTGTCAAATATGTAAAACAAATGACAGAAAATATAGAAACCAATCGTTTAAAAGAATATAAGGGAAATCAATATTCCGGCTGAAATTTGACATTACTGCTATCTTATGCGTGTTTCAGGTGTTCCAATGGTATTAACAGGTGTATATACTGGAATCCGAAATAACACATTCCATCTAACAGTAGAGTAAGTTTTATTGTTTAACAGAATTATTGCAGAGATGCCAGTCGAGGGAGTGAATGAATAAGCCGATAAATGTTTGGATAATAGTAGCTTTTGTTTGTTAGCATTAAAAGACAGTATATAAAGAAAAAAAAATAACAGTTACAGTAGATTAATGTGGAACCAAAAGTATGTAAAACATTGTACAAGCACAAACTATTCTATAAACTAAATATACTTTACAGAACTTACTTTTTAACTGTGTCAAGTGAAATATGAAATGTGAAATATTTTTCTATATATTTCCTTGTGTTTTACATTTTGCAGTTGCTGGATTGGCGAAAGTACGTTACAGTGGATCATGTTTGGACCGGTGGTATTTTCAATAGTGGTAAGTTACTCGGGTAAATTAACATATCTTCCATCACTGTGTAAATAAATCTTTCAATAACAAATGACTGTCTATTTTGCCTACATGCATTCTTTGATGTTCAGAAAATTACCAACTAAATAAATTACCAACCAGATAAAATTAATCATTCTATTTGGAGGGGAAAAGATTCAATAAAAGAATATTTAAAAGTTATAAAGGTATTTTGTGAAAAAATACTTATTTTTTCATTTTGCCTTCAGGTCAATGCCATATTTCTAATCAACATTGTGCGATTGTTGGTTACAAAGCTTCGACAGATGCCAGAAGCAGCTCAAACAAAGTAAACAACTAGAAATTTTGTCTCCTTGTACCTCGAAAATGACAACTCCTCACATTTTGAATTTCACATATATGTAGATTCGGTGGCTATATAGTTAAAGTTATTCAAAATGAACTTGAACTGTCTAGTTTCTAAAGGTTAACAAATGGATAAATTAACAAATTAAGATGTTTTATGACAATGCAACGCAACAACTTCGATGCGTTTTGTCCAATGCAAAACATGTTCCGTTTAGATGGAGTCATGGTTTAATTTTAGCCTGGTTCCAAGATTTTAAGTCTCTGTAAACTTAACTCATTACATGAAAACAAACAGTTTTACAGTCTATTATTTGTATGCGGAGATAAGAAAATATTGTATTTCCATTTAAAGGAAATGTAAATAAAAAAAATACTTTGCAACAAAGCTTGAAATTTAAAATAGGTCCCGAAGTGTTAATTTTTTATGTACTTGCAATTATATTGACGACTCGCAAAATAAAACGTGTAATTGCGCAGTAAATCATGCGTCTTATTCAAAATCATGTAAGATTTGCACCGAATAAATATGTGATTATTTCGTTCATTACATTTAAGTGAATTTATCTATACGTTGATTACATATGAAAATAAGTTATTGGCAAGTGTATGGTCCGATGTTATATATATATATTAACAGATAATAAAATTTCTGGAACAAAATATTATAATTCATCATATTCATTCATTTTCCCTCAGCAGTAAAGCTGGAAGGTCGCCAAATGACCTATACTGTGTCGGTGTGACGTAAAACCCAAGCAAACAAATAAACAAACAAACAAACAAACATTTACTTTCATTCTAAATGACTTAACATTTTTTTTATTTTAAGTATCATTTTCTAAAAATTTCCAAATGCTGCATTTCTTTTTTTAATCAATATTTGAAATACTAATGGAAAATGGAAAAATGTGCACATAGCAGATCTTTCTTCTTTCCTAATCTATTTGTTCAAATTGATATTTTATGTTTTATTCGTTCGTAGAAAAGCAACAAGAGCTACCTTAATTCTTGTTCCACTACTTGGTTTACAATATTTGCTGTTACCAATACGGCCATCTCAAGATTCTAAATTTGAAGAAATTTATCATATATTGGTGGCTGTTTTAATTTCCTCGCAGGTATGTAATTTAGTGAAAGATATAACCATGCCAAAATATTAATTTGCTGTATATGTCTAACTAGATTTACAGTCAAAATTAACGTACAATATAAATAACCGTCACATACATTTAATTTTACATTTTTTTAGACTAGGAAATTGTAAAATACAATTTATATAATCAAGTTATATCACACATTTGTGTTTTGTTGCACCAAAAAATTTCAAACAATTTCAATATTGTACAAAGCATTACAGATCATGGTATTATACCAAATAATGACGATATTATGTGCTCATTTAAGAAGCCCTTGATGTGTCTCTGAATTGCTTTTTAATGAGACAACGTAACAGTGTTTCTACCCTAACATTCGTTGTAAGTTAATCAAATTACATAATCAAAATGTGATTTGGATTTAGAATTTTTATCCAATTTTCAGGGTGCTTTTGTTTCGTTGATGTATTGCTTTCTTAATGGTGAGGTATGTAATCTTTTATTTATTTACAATCTTAAAAGAAATTCTATGTTTAAAAATGCAATTTAGAGAAATGTTATTTGATTTGACAGTTTGAACGAGGTAAAATAAGATTTAAGCACAAAACATGGAACTACACGTTATTTATATTGATCTCTTAAATGCATTATGAAAGATCAACATGAATACATGGACTGTCCTGAAAATTCGTGGACAAGGCTATAAAATTATTATAAGTAGTCATATCAATATGATGTTTTATATTTTGCTTAAGTATTTGTTTGCCACATATTTCTAAATTAAAAAATACAATAACAGTGATATTTGCAAAGCACCAATCACCACGGCAACATGATCAACGGTTCACGAAGCACTTTGATTCCATTATAGTAGCCTTTTGAATAAAAAAAATGCTACAAAATGCAGTTTTAACGCAAACGATCTCTTTTGTTTGTATTTTATTGCTTATATAGATATACATAATTTATTTGACATCAGGTCCAAAAGCCTATAATTATATGATTTGCAATAATAACATTTTATAAATTGGAACAAATATGGAAAACTTTTTTAAAGATTATACAGAAAATACTCTATAATTCTATATTTAATTAAAAATGTTTTTTATATGCCTTAAGGAAATCTGCGTAAATTGTTATGCATCTGGTCATCCGTTCGATCACCTTTTGGCAATTTCGTGCCTCTTAGTATCTTTTGACAGACGAATCAAATTAAAACTACTTGGCAGAAATATTAATTATAATTAGACGATTTGCAGAGCACAGTTTTGTGCTTCCAGGGAATAATTAATACCAATTTCGGGGAACACTGTGTAAAACTGCAATGCATGTAATATTGTCTTGTGGACAACTACAAATCTAATAAGTATCTGGTCCCTTACGTCTAATGTGAGTAACTACAATGCAGAGAGCTAAGATATATGTCATGTAGCATTGCCTGATACACCTTTACAAAATTGATATTATTCATGCCCATTGTGTCAATATTGACCGCGCTGCAGATAAACCATAGACTTATAAAGCAAACAAATTTAAGTCTCATTATGTGAAACTAAAATGCTCAGAGAGCTTAGATATATGGCATTGCCAAAGGTTTTATGAATTTGCACAAATGGTAAACCATTGCCTCCACATTTGTGCTTGGGTCATTTACTTTCATAAAGATAATTTAGATACAATTTTTCGGACAAGTTTCATGTCTGAATCTCTACCCTAATTGAAAGATTATTTTTGATTATTAAAAAATCGTAATGGCGTATATTGCATTGCCTTTAAGCTCGACTTGAGATTTAATTGTTTAAACGCTTAACTTTTTTGGGTCATTGCAAATCTCAAAAACACAGTCCTACCAAGTGGATACCTTTTGATTGTTAATGAAACTTTACTTGTATATTAAATTCAATTTTCTACATTAGGTAATCGGTATAATGCGCCGGAAGTATAGACAACATCGGCTTATGACAACAACAAAACGCAGTAGTTTGAGATCTTCATCTGGTCCTTATCACGGCAATACAATCACGGATAATGTGCCTTTACAACATAATGGTCATAGTCTACAAACAAACAATAAGGTGAATAAATCAGAAACATTTCTTTTTCTAATTATATATGAATGTATATCGGTAAAATATGCGTGGAACTTTAAGACTTTTGCATGTAAAACTACATTTATTTAACGTCTGTGCAAAATAATTTGATACTAATATTTGCTCACGGTGAGCTATTGTGATCACACTCCGTCTGTCGTCCGTCGAAGTGGGTAATCAACATGTTTAACATCATCTCTAAAACCAATGACTGCACATTAACCAAACTTTACAGGAATTAATCTTGGGGTTCCACTTTTTAAAGTTGTTCAAATGGTTCCGGTCTGTTGCAGAAGTAAGTCTTAGGGCCAGAAAATAAGTTTCAAAATGCAAATTTAAAGACTCTTTTTGTCTGTAAGTACCAGGCCTAGAGCTTTAATATTTGGCATAAATAGGCCCTCTATCAAAGTCGTTCAAATATAGTGTCAAAATTGCCCCTACACCCTGCCTTCGGGAGTCAAAGATTTTCCTAAAATAGTAAAAACATAATAAATCTTCTCCTCTGCAACGAAAAAGGCTATATGTAGGATATTTTGCATAAAACATTGTGTACTTGACCTCCACCAAGTTTGTTCAAATTAAAGCTCTGGGGGTCAAAATTGGCCCTGCCGTATGTCATAGATTTTCATTATATGTACAATTATGGTCCTAGGATCAAATAAGCTCCTCCCTTAGGGTCATAAGTTTTCTTTATATACATTTAAGAAAATCTTAAAACAGATAAAGCTTAGATATTTGATATGAAAGGTTGTCTGGCGGACCTGTATCAAGGTTGTCTGGTGGACCTGTATCAAGAGTGTTCAAATATGAAAGGTTGTCTGGTGGACCTGTATCAAGAGTGTTCAAATAAAAGCCTTGGGTCAAACTTGGTCTTACCCAAAGGGACTCAGTGACCTACTTTTTTGTTATTTGATAAACAACTATGAAATTCGGACACAGTGCACAGTTTCAGATGTAGAATTGAACTTGGAATTGAAATCTAATATTAGATGACCTACATATTGACCTAGTGACCTGCTTTCTTGTTTTTGATGTACAGCCTTGAAATAAGGGCCATACACTGTATAATGTAAAGAATAAAAAAATGCATGAAGTATGGTCTAGTGTCTAAAATTGTTCAAATTCTTGCAATTAATACTAGCTTTCACTGCTTTTTACACAAAATCCTTTTCTTTTATATCAAATGTTGATTTGTATCTCGATGTATGACACAGTATTCTCTAAATTTGTTAAGAAAATATTCTTAACCGTATCTGAAATATTTTGTACAATCATTGATTGAATTTTCAGTCTGAAGTGACAGAGAAAACCCGCTTAGACGAAAATCTCTAACACAAAAAAATGACCACGTAGAAGTTTAGAACTCGAAGAAGCTTGTCAAGATTATATGTGATCTCATGATGAAAACAAGAAATGCTTAAATGCATATGGCTAATTTTAAGCAAACACACGTTTCTCTTATAGGAGTATGTTGACGGCGCTCAAGCTTAAAACATATTTGCAATAAATATCAGTGCTTAAATTTGTTATTGCATTCAATAAAACCTTAAATGTTGTTTTCAACTACAATGTGATTGTTTGACTACACTTATGGCGATGGAAAATGACTAAGGACTGTTTATTCACTTGTTTAATATAGTGTTGCAATTTCTGTGTGATAGAACGGTTAGTTATTTATTTATTTTTGTCAATTTATTTTATATTATTGACCAAATTATGACCTTAAACCAAAACAAACAAAAAAATCATCTATTTCATAATTATAATTATGGACAAACGTAAGGATAGTAAAATATTTTTTATCAATTTAAACAAATTAAATAGGAATTATTTCGGATGTCAGTAATATGTTTTTTTTTTCCAAAGAGCAACTGATTATATTTATTAAATGATATAGTTAAATAGTAAAATATTGTTTTGATTCAATCATGTGTGTCTCCCATTAGTAATGAAACAACAGGTACAATTGTTGTTCTGATGTTTATTCACATATGAACGATAATAATTTAATTATTATACCCCAGAAACGAAGTTTGGGGGGTATATAGGAGTCAATCGGTGGTCGGTCGGTTGGTCGGTCGGTCCAGCGGTCCGTTGGATTTTCTTTGTCCGGGGCCTAACTTGAAGACTAATGGTTGGAATTCAATACAACTTCATAAAATGATCAAGCACATTGAGAGGAAGTGCAGTGCACAAGAACCATAAGTCCATCTTGACTAATTACAGAGTTATTGCCCTTTGTTACTTTTCCTTGTCCGGAGCATAACTTGAAAACTACTGGTTGGAATTCAAAACGACTTCATACAATGATCAAGCATACTCAGAGGCAGTGCAATGCACAAGAACCATAACTCTATCTAAAGTAATTACAGAGTTATTGCCCTTTGTTTCTTTTTTATTGCTTTCTTTTGTCCGGACCATAACTTGAAGACTAATGGTTTGAATTCAATACAACTTCTTACAATGGTCAAGCACAATAAGAGGAGGTGCAGAGTGCACAAGAACCATAACAATGTCCATAGTTTTTGCCCTTAGTTACTTTTTATTGTCCAGTGCATTACTTGAAAATTAATGGTTGGAACTCAATGAAACTTCATAAAATGGTCGAGGGCAGTGACATGAAGTACAGTACACAAGAACCATAACTCTATTTGGACTAATTACAGTTATTACCCTTTGTTACTTTTTTGTCCAGTGCATAACTTGAAAACTAGTTGTTGGAATTCAATACAACTTCATACAATGGTCAAGCCAAATGAGAGGAAGTGCAGTGTACAATAACAATAACTCCATCTTCAGTATTTGTAAGTTATTGCCCTTTGTTCCTTTTCCTTGTCCGGTGGCTTACTTATGTTAGGAATTCAATGCAACTTAATACAATGGTCAAGCGCAATGAGAGGAAGTGCCGTGCTCAAGAAGCGTAACTCTTTCTAGACTTATTACAGAGTAATTCAATAAAACTTCATCAATGGTCAACCACATTGAAAGGAAATGCAACATAAAAGAACCACAACTATCTTTAATTGCTCTATTTCAATTATTTTGCAAAGTAGTCTGTTACTAGTGACGTCCTTATTCCGAAGCAGTCTGGCAGGGGTATTAATCAAATTTAGTGATAGTTCTAGTTTATTTATTCATAGTCTCATCGTTGTTCAATTTAAAACTATGTTAAAACAATAGAATGTTTAAAAAAATAAGTTATATTGCTATTGATAATTTTGAATAATTTATACTCTAAAATTATAAATAGCAAAGTTTCATATACCACAGTTGTATGTTTACATGTATACGTATTTATACATAGAAGCTAGATTGTTCTAGGTTATTCTGAACCATAAATTTAAAGAAAAGATTTAAGATTTACATCAAAAGGTGCAAGTTAACAAGATAAAAAATAGTTCAGAAGTCAAACGTCCCCTATGATCAGATCAGAATGATAACCAAATTATAAACAACAACATTCTAAGATGCCATTTAAGAACAACTCTTTATCAAGACATAGAAAGTAAATGACACTACATTATGTCTAAAATATCCAGGAATTTCGTGATAAATTATTTTTGATGCACATACATGTATGTATATGCAACCACAATCCAATGTTATCTAGCTAGTTACACTAATGTGTCAAATATAGAGGAATTATCAATTGGAATTACTTTACACATGTAAGTTTGTCGTTTCTAGATCTTAAAATAAAAACATATTTTGGTGAAAATTCTTACCAGGCTTCTTTCAGCGAACAGCAATAGCTTATAACTTTTGATAAAAGTCATACAATCATGTGCACAGACTAATGGTTTTTTTTCGAAAAGGGCTATTTCTCATATCACAATACAAATTACATTCAAGCAGTTAATGCAGCTTTTTCTCATTGGCACTATAATTATTGGAGATTACCTTACAAAAAGGACAGAAACGTCTTTTAACATACGTACCTTCATATCCGTAATGGGACAGCTACACTTCTAAATTTACATAAAGCTGAATAATGATGTAGGACATTTTGGAATGATTATATAACAATATCTTTCCACGCCATATTCTTGTGTAATTGTAGAGTAAGTTTTCAACTTGTCACCTCTTCTACGAGACGAGTCCTGACAAATATGTATCTAAGTGATTCAGCCATTTTGTATTATACTTAGGTCTGTATAATTGTTAACATATTCTAAAGTACACTTTCCCATTTTAATACAGTTTCAGATCTTGACATAGACTGCATACAGAGGTTTATTACATTTCTCGTATCAACATTTATCAACATACCACAACAATAAAAAATTAAAGAGTATGTTCACTAACCACTAATAAGACAATATCGTATGCACAAAATACATACATCGTCACTTTTCTGAAATTTAAATGTACAAATATTTTATTGTACTCGTGCATAGCACATAATATGCCTCTTAATTAAATCTTTTAATTGAAGGTTCCCGCCTTTATATTACAAGTTTACATGTATATCGTAACAACTGACCTAATATCTAAAACGACAACAAATTTACAAGTTCGTATCTTCCATTGCATGCAATACATATGCATGTTTGCACACTTATAGATCTGAAATATACAAATGAAATGTAAATCTTAAATACAGAAAAAAGAGTTTAAGAAAACGTGTTACCAGTTGTAGAACTACAAGAGTACGTTAACACAGTAACATATTTAAAACGGCAAAAGTAGATTCACAAAGTTAAACGATTTTAAGTCAAGCATAACGCCCCGCCCCTCTCGGAGTATTTACGAACTTCTATTGCGGACGGGTATAAAACGTCGCCTTTCCCATATTTCTAAATAAAACTGAAGGACAACATACGGCATTTTTCATAACATAAATTTGTTACATTTGTTACAAAAGCTTTGTCACTAGCAACATCACTTGAAAATTGCTGATTTTACCATTTAAGATGAAGATAACTTATGCATTAACTTATTATTTAACATCGTGTTCTTATCAGTTACAAATTATTTATCATTTTAGTGATTAACCTGTCCGTGTTCTGCCCTGTTATGTCCTGTGTTTTGTTTGGGGTCCGCCTGGGCTCCTTGCCACTTGTTCTTGTTGCTTGGTCATGTGGGATTGCGTTCATTGAGCGCCGCCTTTCCTTGTTGATCTTGTTTATCATATATTCCTGAGAAACATCGGCGATTTGGAAATTTTTAGGGGAAACAATGACCAACTTCAAGGGAGTAATTTTATTGATAATCTAAAAATCATCCAATATTATTATTGGTATCATTGAAAAGTGTATTGGCACAAATTTCATTTAAAAAACTATGCAAGTATAAACCGAGTCTGCAATTCTTATGTAATTTTGTTGTGATTAATGCTTCCGAGGGATCATTTTGTTTCCAGATTTTTAATTTACTTGTTCAAAGCCTATGGTCTTAACTTTCATTCAATATTCTTTTTTGAATAAAGTATCTAAAGGAAGCGACGTGATTATTTTTCCGAATATATGAGTGTGGTTTTAAGAGAGAAAAAATAAACAACGTTAAGTTTGAAAAAAAATAATAATACTTCTACGTAATTAATTTTCATTTTAAAGGCATCACTAAAAAGTTCATAAAGGATTCTAAAATTATCAAAATTGACCAAGAAATAAAAAAAGTAGGGCGGCGCCATGTTTCTCTTACTGAATTTCAGAGTGTGTTTTGTCTTTTTACTTGGAGACCATATGCCGTTTTTCATGGTATGGCACTTACGTGTCACATTGAAGGTTCCATGATAATCGCCATATTAACACATCTGCGGATGTTTCAAAATTCAAAATTGTACCAGTTCATGTTGAATTTTGCTTAAGCCGGTGATAGGGGGGCGTGGACGGTAATTTGCTCTTTCCATTACCGTCCATGAACAGGCTCAATCAAACCAAGCCTGCAACATTCTCAATTTTGTCGTTTTGAGCGTTCTTTAGGGATTCTTATTTTCTCTATTTTACAGAAAGTAACATGATAAACTTTTAAACGAAAAGTTAATTCATTTTGATTCAATTCATTTTTAGGCATTATATAATCATATATCATAAAGCGTATAAAGCACACTTTATTTCAATCAAAATTGATTACGAAATAAAAAAAGGTTTGGAGGGACCGCCGTGTTTTTCTTACCAATTCGAGAGTGTTATTTTTAGAGGAAAAATGATAAGTTTTGAAACAAAAATTTCAATACATCTTTTTAATTCATTTTTTTTCCGAGGCACTCATAGAAAGCTAATGGAGTAATCTTTCATTTGATACCAAAAATATTTGACTTTTTGTAGAATTAAATGAAAAAGTTAGAATGGACGCCGTGTTTTCCTTCACTTTATTGAGAAATAGGAGAGAAGCGACGGGTATTATACCTGTCCGTACATTTCCGTAATAGAAGATCGTAAATACTCAGAGAGGGGCGGGGCGTCATGCATGACTTAAAATCGTTTAACTTTGTGAATCTACTTTTGTCATTTTAAACATGTTACTGTGCAAACGTACTGTTGTAGTTTTACGACTGGAAACACGTTTTATTAAATTATATTTTCTGTATTCGAGTTTTACATTTCATGTATTTTTCAGGTACAGATAGATATCTACAAGTGTGTAAACATGCTTATGTATTATATGCAATGGAAGATACGAACTTGTAAATTTGTTGTTGTTCTCCATGTTAGGTCAGTTGTTAAGATTTACATGTAAACTTGTTATTTAAACGCGGGTGCCTTCAATTAAAATCTTAACTACCAAATCCGCAAATAGTCAGTATCAACTGACAGGCGTATTAATTATCACACATTCTCAAAAAAAAAGCCATAAAATAGTTCCCGATTGGTCGAAGATTTCTAATATTGTGCAATTCTTTAAAATTTCAGAAAATTATCGGCCAATTTCGGCCCAAAAACGTTTCGGCCTAGAATTACCCCAGGCGTTTCGGCCCTTTAGCAATTCGGCCCAGTATAATTTAAGTCATACCTTTTATACTGTATTTCTTTTAAAAGCATTAAATAAATTATACGCGGAAAAAGCGTTTAATAAAAGCGACTACACATTTCATACTGTTGGGAGATGACGCGGCATTCGGTACAGGTGCATTGTATGATGTAAAGTGTCAGTAATCATTGATAAGAACTGAAGTAAGACGTACCAAAAAAGTTGTTTGTTTCCGGTGCCCGACCGAACCTATTTTTTGACCGCCGACCCTAAAAATTTCTAGCCAAAACAAACCGGATTTTGTTTGGCTCAGAGATCTTGTCTTTAGACAATTTGGGCGAAATAGTGCCTATTTTGCTTAGAAAATAGAAAACAAAGTCGCTCTCATTTGTAGAAACACCTGCGATAATTTCCCAAATGACAAAATCATCCACGCTCCGCCTATTTGAACACAGTCTGTTAAACCTATTTTCATTGGTCGGTAAAGTGGGGAAACCAATGAAACGCAGCGATGCAATTCATCGGATGTTGGAAGTTAACGGGTGACATCTTTCGGATGTTGATAAACAGAGATAAAATGCCGATTGAAAAATAAAGAACAATTAAACAATATACTAGTGGTGATAGGACAAATTAGTCTTTGCGCATAAATTTGTTGGTAAGTCTAGTTATCATGTTGATATATCACGTTTAAGTAACTTAAAAACAACTCTTCAGGATCCCTTCTTCCCTTTACCGCCCATTATGGGCAGCCATCTTGAATGGGAACAGAACAGGACAGGGAAGCAGATTATTCCGACTGTCTATAGTCAGAGTTGTTTGTAAGTTATAAAGTTCATTATTTTAGAAAAAAAAAAGATCACGATATTGAAATAAGACGTGGACTGGTCAAAGTTTGTGCTACCGATTCAATTCCGACGGTTTTAATGTATGTGCTATATCCTTAGTTTTCTTAAGGCTGTTAGGCTGTCCAGCAAACATTACATATAGGACCGATGTTGGCCCGATATCATCTACAATGTCGGCCCGATATTTTAATTAAACATTTTTTTTAAACATTTTATTTCATGTTAATAAATCAGTTAAAAACAATGAAACTTTACACATTTACTCTAAAAGAGAAAGCTGAATAATGTTTTTTCGTTATTATATATTTTTTGTCTTAAAAACACATACCTCATTTTAAGTATTGCCCAAGACTCTGTATTGCATCAATTGGTCATCTTTGGCTTCTAAAATGACATTTTCTTTCTCCAAAACCAGCTATTTCAGTTGTCAGCACTGTGATTCAGGAATCTGTTTGTCATGTCACAGGCAGATGATATACCTGCAATGAATCATTTATGTTTCAAACATTATACTTAAAGAAAATATATCAATATAATAATATATTCACATTTTTATTACCAAGGAACTAGGTTTAGAACAGTGGCATTTAAAAAGGCAAGCAGCCACTGTCCATTTCTTTTTAAGTAATATATCTGATTTAAACATTCATTTGACATCTCTATCATAATTGTAATTTTTAATAAACATAAAAAGAAAATTATTATTTGATGTTTATTCTCTCTCAGTCGCTAAATGTCATGAACAATTTTAAAAAAAGTCGCGAAAATGTATTACAAAATAATTATCGGCGAGGTTATTATGAAATTCATAAACCTACGTTCAAAATATCAATGACGCTGAATACATCATGCATAAGTAATTTATAAATTTACCAGTAGTATAATAGAAAAAAATTCCATTTTTTTAGTTTTATCGCAGTTTGAACAGTTTGTACAGTTTATTGAAGATGCTGGGCCTCTTAGAGGCATCAGTCACATATACAATAATATACATATAATATGAAATATCATAAAGAGAGTTCCACGTAATATACTTATGTACTACATGGCAAATATAAATCAAAAACGAAATTGTTACATTATGAAAATAAGCTAAGCTATCAGTTACTTAAATGCTGATATAATTTTTTTACAGAATAATGCAAGTTTTAACAATATACTACTATCTGTGCTATTAACAAAGAAAACTTGATTGAATTTACATTAGTACTATACTCTCTAGTAATGTATTTTTCTATCAGTATTAAAGAATTGACAATTAAATAAGTAATGATATTCATCACTAAACTTCCT